ATTAATACAACATCTTTTTTTTAAATTTGAATTAAACTTGTTAAGACATCCACATATGTCTTATAAAATTATCATAACACTTTAAGAAATGACGTCTTATTGTTTTCTACAAACATAAGTTCTATAAATAAGTCAATTAGAACACGATGTTATTGTACTTCTATATCATTTTTTTAGGATTTGGGTTTTGTGTCCAAATGCTTCATCGTTGGTATTTTAGCCATTTCCAAACTTGGGCTGAGACCCGTCCAACTAGGGATGGCCAAATGGGTCCGTTGGAGGACCAGGATTGGAAATGATTTGGGCTCGGCTGAGACCAATTGGGATCAGGACCGTCCCGATGGTCCTTAACCGATTACGATATTTCATCGAAAACAAGGCCTGGCCCAGCCCAGCCCGAGACTAGTTATGGGACCGTCCTAGGACCGACCCAATATTTTGTTTATAATTTATTTTTAATGTTTTTTAAGCATATTTTAAAATTTATCTTTAAATGCATTTTTAAGTGTATTTGATTGAAGACCAAAATGTATTTTTAGTGTATTTGATTGACCTAATTATAATAAAAGTGTATTATTAGTGTATTTGATTGACCAAATTTAAAAAATATATATTTTTTATATGTCATTGAGTGGGATGATTTAGGTTCGGCTCGGGACCAGTTCTCACAACCGGACCTTATACATCTTAACCGCACCTTCGTATTTGGTTCAGGTTCGGAACCGATTACGTCATAACCAGTTACGAGATCACTATTTAATCCCGGACCCGGCCTGGGATCAATTTTTAGCCACCTCTACGCCCAGCAGCCCAGGTCAACTGACCTGTTTCTAGTCCAGCTACCCCAGCCCAAGCCCATACGCCAGGCTAACAGTGTGTAACACATAGACAACGATTAAGCGTGGCCCAGCTTTATTAGTCCAATATATTAATGCCAGGCCACATACCCATTAGTTTAAGTCCACATCCATTTATATATATACACACACATACATATATATACACCTATACATACATACATACATACATACATACACACATACACACACACACACACATATATATATATATATATATTAGGAAGAATTCAAACGAGAACCCCTGTAATTTACGAAAATGTGAGAACAACCTACCAACCAAGTAATATGATAAGTGATAACAATCAGAGTTAAGAGATTTTTAAATTTAATATAATATTAAAAAAATTCAAAATGTTTTGGGAGACGAAAGGGTAATCTTGTAATTTGAAGTGATAATATTTAAAAAATTACGATCAGAAAAGACAGATCATCTAGGAACTGATAGCATCATGGCTACGGTAGTTATCTTGGTTAATAGAGGAATGTGTCATAAGTTTTAAGAAGATAGAAGAAAGAAATCGAACATCAAGAAGTTTGAGGGAGAAGTTTGCAGAGACAATTGATTCAAGGTTTGCTTATCACAAATTTATCAAATTTAGAACATGAATCGCTCACAGTCGCTCGATTTGAAGATTGTTTGGTTCAATTAGGATACGAGTATCTTACAATTATCACAAGAAATCCGACTACAATCTATCAGTTCGACTAGGGTTAACGTATCTGCTCGATTCGTATTTAGGTGTGATAATCATATGATACGTTAACCTAAAGACTAATTGATTTTCACAAGATATGATTCGTATTTGGGTCCGACTACAATATGTTCGGTTCGGTTAGGTTCCACCATCACACGATTATCACATTGTTATCATACCCAATGGTTACAAAATGACTGTGATAAGATATTTGGTAGTTGAATTGATTGGATTCAGAATAATCACATTGTTATCATACACAATTGATACAAAATGGTTGTGATGGAAAATTTGGTGGTTGAATCGATTAGATTCACGATTATCACACTATTATATCAAAGAGATTTTGAAACTTCAGATACAATGGGGAGAAAAAGATGGGAAGAAAAGGATGGACGTTCTACTCAACATGATCGACCCCAAGCCAAAAATTATGGGATAATTCCAATTAATTAAAATAAAATACAAATTATAACAAATACTTAATTACATTACTACCCTTAGTGATTTATTTTTATTTAATATAACTTAAATTATTGGTTAAAAAGGTTTGAGTCCCATAAGTGTTCTTGCATTCTCGTTAATCATAGAGATTCTCATTTGAACTCTCTCACACACACACACACACACACACACATATATATATATATATAATTTCTTATTGTAATCCAACTCTATATCAATACTATATTATAAAACATTTGATAAAACTCTTAAAAACTATTTTTTACTGTTTATTGATGCATATTACTTAAAATACATGACTACAAGTAAATTATGCATAAGTACAACTTATTAAAGCTTTATGTTCGAATTTGTGTAACTAATTGCAAATAAACATAATAAAAAACAAGATAAACATTTTATTTTAAATAAAAAAAATCTAAAATATAATTAGGATAATAATTGTACTTTAACAAAATATTTAATTATCACCCTTATAAAAAAATTATATTATTAAATAAAAAATAAATTACTTTATTATCAAACATAAATTAAATTATAATAAAAATTTGAATTAAAGAAATTATACAAAAAATAAGAACTTTTAAATATTTATTTTAATATTAATATTGATATGTTTTTTCAAATTTATATTTTATTCAATAATAAAAATATTATTGTTTTCTAAAAAAACTTGTATTATAACATCGACATGAGACAAAATAAAATGAAACATTAAGAACGAGATGTATCTCGTTACATTACGTGAGTACAATTCTAATATATATATATATATATATATATATAGATAGATAGATATATGTGTGTGTGTCGAAGGGTTATTATAGCCTTAATTTGTAAAGGAATGGAAAACATATGTTCCTCTTGGTAGTCCAAAATTAATTTTGGATGGATTTATTTAAATATTTAAATCACACATAAACATAACTCTGACTAGTCAAATATATCTAATTCTTCATAAATCTCTAAATTAATCCACTTATTATATTTAAAACCTTCATTAATTTAACGAACCCTAAAACCATCAACAATTGAAATTGCCTCACCACCACCGCAAACAATCGCCCGCCAAATTTCCCGACCATGCACCCGATTACTTGTCGTCTCCGGCTGTTAATATCTTCACCCTCTTCTTCTCGAATCCGAATTCAAGCTCGCAGCCTTTTCTCTTCATTCTCCGACGAACCGAGCTGCCGGAGTCGGTCCTTGTTCTTCGATGATCCCGGAGAACCAGGCACCGGAAGTCTCGTCTACCGACACACTCTCAAAACACAACGTCCTTCCACAATTCGGTGGCAAAAGGAGCTAACAAATTCCGCCAGCTTTATCGGCAGAGTCTATACCCCTGTTAAAACGTTCACCACTAGAGACGGTAAACTCGTTGCCAATACTCTACTCAGAGTGGAATCTCCATCAGACTCGAAGAAATTTCTTACGTGAGAATTCGTTACCGAGCTAGTACTTTTTTTCCCCTCTCGATGCATCTTCTAGGATCTTAGGTTTTGTGTCTTTTATTTGTTGCAATTGTTCAATTTTGTTCTCTTTACGAATACGCGTATTATGTGTTGAATTGCGACTTTTAACTGATTTTCATTTTGCTGGTCCTGCCTTACAATAATTAATGAATTCATCTTCTCTGTATATTAAGCTTTCATTGATAAGCATAAGCTTCTTCCCATTTCTGGAATTAAGAGTACAGAAAACTAGGAAAGATTATTGATAGATGCAACCTTGATCGGTTAAGTTGAATATATTGGTGAAATCAAATACATGTGCCTATTTCTTCTTTCTTTCTTCTTCTCTGGTTGGGTACTATTTACTAGTTTTATTCCTTTTCCCTTACATCTTTGCATAAGTAGGGTATTCACAGAATCAGCCGCTCTACCCTTTGGACCAAGTATATTCTACCCTAACCGTACTTCCAAGTGGGATATACCGGTTTGGTTAGGTGTTATCTCAGACCCGACTCTTGTTTTAGGGGAAACAACATCGAGATTGTGAAACTTGGGGGCATTAACTCAACTCTAGGTCGCAAATGAGAGCAATAGGAACGTCACTACAGCTTGCCAAAATACGCAAAACTCAGTTATACATGTTATTTTGTGTGGTAGTATTGGGCATGTGTGTCGTCATTTTTTGTAGTGAGCATAACAAAAAGAATTTCCAAGCAGGACTCAGTTTGCTGGATTAACACCGTACTATAAAGAGTAAACCAAACTTAACGAACGCCATGAATCCAACACAGAGTAGGGTCTGGGAGGGTAGGATGTATGTAGATTTTACCTCTACCCTGAGGAGTAGAGATGATGTTTCTGTGAAGACCTCCGGCTCGTGAAGGGGTATTATAAAGACCGAGAACATTAAACGTACTCTTGAGATGTCACTCCCAGCATAATTAGTGAATCTATTTTTTTCAGTTTATTTGAGATGTAAATACGTGTTGCGTTCCCTCTTGGGCATAGCCTATCTTTGGTAAGTCACTAGTAAGTAAGCTTATTTTGTGTTCTGTGCAGGATATTATTGACCATGTGGGAAGATATGGCAGAGTTATCTATCCAACATCTAAAACAAAATGACTGTATATATGTTTCAGGGTATCTCGGATCATTCACAAAAGCTTCCAACAATGGAGACATCATATTGAGACACAAGGTTGGTATCCTATATTTATTTGACAAATGCTCTCCCTCTATCTTTTATTCTTATCTTGAGCCTTACTCGTAAAAAATAAAGTTATACTGAATGTTTCTTTATGGATGGTATGGTATCATGGTACTTGGAAGTTAGAATGGTATCACAATCACTTGATATTTGAAACATGACAGAGATGAATCACTTGGAGTTTATGTCACATTTTGAAGAATGCTAATACTGCAAATGAATGCTTTTCAAAATTTGAAGTACTTAAAAAATATGATCTATGTGAACTGTAATCACCCACTCACATTTCTCAAGAAAATACATGTGCTTAAATAGATATTGGATCACAAAGAACATTATATACGTATGTATATCCGTCTGTCCATTTGAACATTGTGTTTGGTGAAATATATTTGTCTTTTCTTCATCTTCAAATCTTTTCATTGCAGGTTACTGTGAAAGAAATAAACTATGTTGCAAATAATGATCAAACGGCTAGCAAGAATAAAGAAGGTAAATTTCATATCTTGATGTATACTTTTTAATCATTCGAGTGGGATATATTGTGTCAGTTTGGTTTGGTCTTATCCTTGCAATCCTTTGTGTTGCAGATCCAGAAGAATCACCTCTGGAAAAACAAAGAAAACGTCTTCACTTGTGGCAAGTGTTCTTTGCCAGCCCACATGAATGGAAGGATTTAAGAAAGCGAAAGACGAACCCAAGACAACCTGATTTTATGCACAAGGGTACCAGAGAAGCTCTTTGGCTTAACCCGTTTGATCCACCATGGATTATGAGACAGCTACAGCTGCAGGATTCTAGAATGGGTGGCATGGGTCTTGGAGAACATCTAAGTAATCGTTCAAGTCTTTCCCCATTGAGTTATGAATCAGATTAAAGAAACAAAGATCAAATTGCATTGCAGCTTCAAACGTGCCAGAAATTTGAAGAAAGTTGGCGGGTAAGTTTACTGTAAAGGTTGTAATTATAAAATAGTTTGCACATTCAGAGTCACATAACCTGCTTCCTTCCTGTTGCTGATCTCCCTTAACTGGAGATCTGTGTTCCATTACTGAGCATAATGTAAAACGAGTAATATTCGGTCTATAATCTGAAACCCAGGTAGGATTTAGGATTTAAGGTATAGGATTTGGATTTAAGAGTTAAGGGTCCGTTTGGTTTGTAGGAATGGAAAGGGTTTGGGGGATTTGGAATTCAAATCCATTCTTTCAAATTCAAATTCTTGAAGATGTTAATTAGGATAATAAATGACATTAAAATCTGCATTCAATTATGGATTAAGATTGACAATCTAGATGGTCAAGGGTAAGGGTGAGGGTGGGCCATGAAATTGGATCATAATTAAGTTGAACCCCTAAAGTCTTAACCAAATACCATGGAAGTCAATAATATACTTCCTTTCTTTCTTTCCACTTCTATACCCTCTTTATCAACATCCCAAAAGGGTTCGCTTTTATCGTACCGGCCATGTGGTTATCATGGGGAAGGTAGATCGCACATCTCAGAGGCATGTAGGTGGTATGTGGAGGTTTCCACGCGTTTTACAAGGATACTCACCTCCTTACCTGTTAGGCTAAAGTTTTTCTTTTGTTGACCATGAGTATCTAGGCCAACTTTAGCATCCCTCGACTAATCCCATTGCGTCTTGGAGAAGAGTCATGAAAATCCCTAGTGGCCTTGAAGGTACTAGAACTGGTGACCTATAAGAAGACTCCCCAAAGGTCTAAGGTGCCGTTTACCAAATGCTTACCCGGGTAAGCGCTTACCAAGTCACTTTACTTTACCGGATGAATATGACAAGGGCGAATTATCTTACCCGGTAAAAGCGAAGGCAAGAATCAAAAGTTTTACCCGGTAAGTGAGAACGAGGACTCTTACCATGGTTAGCGCTTACCAGGATAAATTGTTGCATACGATGCATTTTAGTGAATAAAATCTTACCCGATAAGTAAGCGATTGAATTTTATTGGTAAGTGCTTATCGGGTAAGTGTTTAGGTAAACGGTCCCTAAGTCTCATTGCTAGTGAGATGTTGAAGGACTTTTACCTGGTAGGCTTAAGTTGTAGAGACAGAAAAAAGGTTCTTTCTTCGATCAACAAATTTTTCATTGTAACTTGACGTGAAAAGATGGAAAAGTGGTTAGGTTCTGAATATATAAATTTGGTAGAGTGAGTGATGACAACAAAGTTATTTTTTTGGTAATGAGATGGTGTTTAGATTATAACTGAGATTAAACGAACATACGTCTTTTTGAAGGAAAAACAATGGGGACAAACTATTTAGGTATGCTTTTGACCTGATGGTGATTGATCGATTTATTTAGATCAAAGTGAAGAAATAATATATATATATATATATATATATATATATATATATATATATATTATAGGTGAGTTATTATGCAACCCTTTATATTTGTACAATCAATACAACTCAATTTCAATCGTCTATTTAATTTGATGAATATGTGATTTCATAAAAATTTTGATTGTTTTTTAATATAAAGTATTGATCATAATTAATGAACTCTAGTAATCTTGCATAAATATTTAAAAGTATTTAAATTATAATAAATGAACTTTTTATTATTTTTATAAATATCTTAATTAATTAAGTTGCATTAATTGTATAAATGAACATAGTTACATTTGAAATATATACGACGAATATTTTGGTATAAATAATATTCTATAAATAAATTGATAGGTTGAATTTAAGGGGCATGATAGTAATCTTAGTGGTCAAAGAAGGAGTGCTAGGAGTGCAAGTCACGCTTCTTTTGTCTCCTTTATTGGCCTCAAACTCAAAAGGTCTCCCCGGAGCATTTTGCGCATATGCACTTTCAAAAAGTTGCCCTTATTTAATAGGACGTTGAAACGAAAAGACAGTCAATTTAAGATAAATGTATGAAAGGTTAAATCATATCTGCTTCTCGATTAAATCACATGTGATATATAATATTGACTTCTTGATATATTGTGTCACATGTGATTTTGCTGTAGAATCACATATGATCACTATTTTGTGTATGTTGACCTGTTTTTTGCGCCATCTTTCGTACAAAATATAGGAGGTTTAGAGCAACCTTCAACAGCTATTCTAAAATCTCCTGGAGATTTTGAGTATATTTTTTGCTCCAATAGCTATGCTAAAATAATATTTAATTATCTTTTGCTGACATAAATCATGCTTTGAGAAACGTTGTGGTCTTGTCGTGACTCTTAAGGCTTGGTATCGTTGTCACGTCATGCCATTTAAAACCTTAGATCATCTCCAACCTTATTCTCAACATTTAAGGTAATGCGGCGGGTGAAATACCTTGACATTAGTAAGACCTTGTTACTTCAATCATGCTCCCTATAAAAAAATACGCATTTAGTTTTCATTTTATAGGCTCGAGATGACATGAATAAAAAAGTTTGTCTAAGACATTATGTTTTTAGTTTTAATTTCATAATTGATCGCGTATCTAAATTGGCGAAATTCTGAATTCCGTCAAAAATGAAATCTAAAATTTCAAATCGTCATTCGACTGCTCAACATTTGTCCAAAATTCCAACTATCGTTAGTGGATTTGTTTGACCTTTTTCAACTTGCTCGGTATTTTTTAAGTTATAGAGATGGATGCATATTTCATAATTTGGTATCCCATTTTTTAATAATGTTATATCGGAAGAAATTTTCATTTTGAATATAGATGTTATGTGTTTTTGAGTTTTCCACAAGAGGCTCAAACCGCTTAAACCGATCATGCAAGACCTCCTTTTTATGGTCTGGTTTAATCGGTTTGATCACTTGTTATCAAACCATTCGATTAGGAAATCACTTTGTTTTTCATTCACGTGTTAATTTTATATTGATTTTTAGTCGCTAAAATCTCAACTTAGATTATTTTATTTGTTAGATATTGTCATTACGATTTTTGTTATCATCACAAATCACTGATTCATGTTGTTATCATTTATGATAATTACAAAATATTTTTAAATGTATGATTAAGGTTCTAACATGAGATGTAGCATGTTGTGGCGGCACAATCAAGCCTCAAACTCAGGAGTCATGACAAAGCTAAGATGTTTTTTAAACAGTAGCTTACATCAAAGGATATATATATATATATATATATATATAGAGAGAGAGAGAGAGAGAGAGAGAGAGAGAGAGAAAGAAGATGATAATCAAATGAGAACAATAAAAAGGTTGAGAAACTTGAAAACTAATCTAAACCATCTGAATACTCTAATCTAAATCTTAATTAATGTTCCATCTATAATTAAGTAAAGATTAGTTGTGTACATGTGCAATGCGACGGGAGCCGTGAATTTTAACGATTTTGAAGTTTCATTGGTTTTATTAGAAAAGATTTAACGATGATATAAGTTACACTTGGTCTTTACATATTAATATAATTTGAATAAATAAGAGTTGTGGTTTCGATTACAGTCTATTGATGGAAAAAATTGTATGACAATTTAAAATCTTATATATTTAAAATCCAACATATTTAAACGACTCCACAAATGTGTTCAATTTACATCAAGAGCAAAGAATCAAGAGATCGAGAGTGAGACCGAGAGTTGTAGAACAATTGAATGAGATAACTTTTAATAACTCATGATGAATATCAGTTTGAATCTCACCTTGGGGGATGAGGAGAAGACGGAAAGGTATGAGAGGATGAAGACATGAATGAAAGGTGTCAAAAGTTTTTTGGGAACATGAAAAGAAAAAGTAATAATGTGCATTGGTAACTTGTACTCTATGTTATTTTAATTGTAGATTAAAAGATTTTAAGACTTAATGCATAAAATAGTAGTACTTAATGCATTATGAGTTGTTTTTAAGACTTTGTGCATAAATGTATAATACTTTGTGCATTAAAAATTGTTTTTAAGACTTTTGATAAATCTGGTTTATAAAATAGTATAGTATAAATATTTTTCTTTCTTGATTATTTTCCGTTTTAATCTAGAATAAATTATTATTTTGTTTTAATTCAATCTTATATGATGTAATTTATACGTGATAAGATATTTTAATTTTTTTAATTGGTAATAATCTTTTTTATTTCATTAGTTTAGTGTGTTATTAATTTAACTTTTACTCGTTTACTTTCTCAGATATACATTATTTACTATTAATGTATAAAAGACTTACATTTTTGTAAAATATATTTGACTACTTTAAATAATTAAAACATCACATGTAAACATCAAAGTTTTATTTCATGCAATTAAATAATATAATATCGTTAAAGTGAAACAAAATGACTGTTGTTTGATCATGTAAAAACAAAACAAAGTTGATGTGAAATGTGATGTGAAAGTGAAACACTATAGTGTTATTTCATATTGTGTAACAACATAAAGTCGCTAACATTAAACAATAAATTGTTGTTTCATAACGTGAAACAATGTAGCGTTGTTTCACTTTGAAAACAAAACAAAATATGATGTGAAATATTAAAGTGTTGTTTCATATGGTGAAACAACACAAGGTTTCACATGGTGAATAATGTACTACTGTTTCACATGGTGAAAGTGAAACAATGTAGTGTTTCATCATGTGAAAAGAAAGAAAAAATGACGTAAAATGTGATGTGGAATATTAAAGTGTTGTTTCATAAGGTGAAACAACATACGAGTTAAACTATTTTTATTGTTTTATATAAAAATGCAATTATTAAAAAAATGTAAAAAAAATAATGATACTCGTGTCAAATTAAAGAAGATAAAACGTTTATTTTGTTTTGTACAATTTTTTTGATTAAAAAGTTTATTGCAATTTATGTAATTTTAATTTAAAATTATATTATTATAAATATAATTTTGATAACCGTCATTGTTTACTATAGTTTTGATGTCAAATACATAGAATGCCTTTTTAACTTGCATTTATCCAATAATAACTTTCAAATTTCAAAAATATTACAAAACACTAAAACCGTAGATTAAATTCAATTAATTATTAAGATTGATCCTTATAGTTCTTAACCTTTTTTTGGTCCTCAGATGATTTAACCCATATATATATATATATATATATATATATAATAACTAGCTTCAAATTTCAAAAATATTACAAAACACCATCATCTTTCATAACCCTAAGATTAA